TTCACTTCTCTGCTTCTTTTTCCTTTTTCTGCTTCTTTTGCCAATCAATTTTTCCACTGAGCTGTTTTTCTTTAATTTAATATATTTTAAAGACTTTCACCTCAGTCTTTGCACAATTCAGTTTCTGCATCAGATGCAGATTTTCTGTTTGAGAGAAGGATTTCTTTTGAAAAGATGCAGTCCTGATTTAAAGACTTCAAATGATCTACCACATCCTGTGGTAGGTTGTTCCAATGATTAATGGCCCATGCTAGAGAAAGTACGACAGCTTCCAACCATTGGATCTTATTGTGCCTTTTTCTGTTAGACTAAATAGCTATTTGTTATCAGAAATCTCTTCCTTATGTAGATACCTGCAGACTTTGATTAAGTCACTTTTTAACTCCTTCTTGGATAACCTCAACAGATTAAAGCATGTTTTCGTGACTCTTTTTTTCTTTGAATGTTGGGGTTTTTTAAACCTGTTTTTTTTTTGTTTCATAGTGTACTTCAAGAACCAACCCAATATTCCCATAAGCATTTTCACTAATGCTATTTTCAGGTATGGTAGCCCCTTCTGAAACCCAATTAAGGCTGTGTATCTTCTTGCCTTCACATCCTCCTCTGTATATTATATGAAAAGTCTGTGTTCCTTTGTTTTGCTACGGTGATTCCCAAATCCCAGCTGAGGCCCTGAGCTGCTCTGCAGGTTCTTCTTCTCAGCCCCACCATGACTTTCACTGCTGCACCCTCTAATGCCATGCAGTTGTGGAACCCTGGATTGAGCTGCTACGAAAGCAGAAAGCCTTATTGTGAGGCTTTTGTCCTGTGGCTTCCAAGCTGCATTTAAGGTCAGGCTTCTGCCCTTGGTCCTTGCTGAAGTTACGTTTTAGGCGTGTCTGTGCCAAGCCCCACCTGGGCTGACCTGGCTTCCTTGTGTGACCCCAGAGCAGCCTTGGCTCTGTTTTTGGCTGACTGGTTACTGTCCCTGTATGGGTGGTGTGCTCCTCCCCGTGCCTTGCTGTTACCACCAGCTGTACAACAGGAGAGGAATGAAGCCCTTGAGGCCTCAACAGAGCATGGTGACTTCCAGTTCTTAGTTACTCAATATAATCTCTTTGTTTGGTTTAGTCCATTCAATGTGACTGTGTAGCTTTGTTGGGGTTTTTATCACCAGAACTTGCTATTTCATCAAACAAAAAAGACCATGCTTGTCTGACAAACCTTAACTTCCCTGAAAATGTGCCAAGATGAATGTTCTGCTGCCATCATTTAATTATGTACTGATTGTCTCCAATGTTAAGCTTCCAAGACTGGGATGATACCTCTTTTCATCTTAATAGGTTGAATGTCTATTAGTCATCTTGTTGACCATTTTAAAACATTAGCATGACTTTAGCTTCTTTTATAGTCCTCTCAGACTCGTCCAGCTTTTAAAAGAAGTCAGTGTATGTGGATCAGAGTGTTCCCTGGCAAGATGCCTTCATACCCGAGTAGAAGTTGGCCAGCACCATTTATTTGCTGCCTGGTAATATTTCTCTACTGGCTGATGGAACAAGAAGATGCTCTGCAGTCCCTTCAGGATCTACAAGCACTCCCATACACAGAAGTGCTGGCACAAGCATGAAGTAAATGCAATCATCAGAAGGACTTTAAAGGGAGTTAAATATTTTCAGAAAGATTAAAAGATTGGATTTTTCATGATTCTCCTCTGTAATGGAGACAGAAGAGTAGCCCTGGCTCTAAGTCCTCCCTGTATTATTATATTAAATACTGCCTGCCATGAACTTGTTTAATTTATCCCTTACTTTACTATCCCAGCACAAGCCTCATCTAGGATTACAAGTGAGCCCACAGTCCCTAGACTCCTTCATGAAGGAGCTGGAAGCTTCAGCCCAGCTCTGGTCCAGGTGGGAGCTCCCAGCTGTGAGGAGCTGCCTTTCCACTGCTCGGGCAGGCACAAAGCACCCTCAGTGCTCCTGACAGCTCCTGACCCTGCTCTGAAAAGCACTTCAGTTCTCAGGGACAGGGCAGGAAATGCGGCAGTTTTCAGTTGTGCAGAGACATTTTCACTCATATTCTAGTGCAAAAACTGGACAACAAACCCAAATGTTTTGCTTTGGATTTTTAGTTGTTTTGTTTTTACAAAAGAAAGCACAGTAAAACTAGCCCCAGAGTGAGCAATTATTGGTGAAATAATTTGTTTTAGGAGTTAAAATATGTGAGGAAGTGGTCAAAATAATCCAGACAACTCTATAAAAGAATAAGCATGAGAAATAATTGAAGTCACCAACAAGCCAATATGGGAAAACATATTTTATGCTCTTTTCCCTTTACTTTGTTTTACTTGGAAAACTTTCTGAGTTGAAGAATATATTGAAAGATTTCATAAAATGTTAGATAAAGATGTATTCATTAACCACTTGCTATTATTAAAGTACACTGTTAAAAACTTAAGGTATTCTTTTTTAATCCATAACCAAACTTTCACATCTCTGTATCCTCATCTCTTGAGCTTCACTCATCATTTTTCCTAAATGGAGCTTTACTATTAATTTATTAGACTGTGCCAGCAAGAAAAGCAACGGCCAGGGGAAACAAAATAATGTTCTTAATAACTCATTTCTTAGAACAAAATCCTCCCAGCCTGCTGCAGTAAAGACAGTCATATGGCAGAGGTTTGTGCTTCTTCTGTGCACAGCACTTGCTGTGTCTGGGTTCGATCAGAGTCCCGTTGCAGTCAATGGGAGTTTTGTGCTAAAATGTATCTTGTATGCTGTCACATGGGCAAATGTCCACCTCAGGCTACAGCAGAAGCAAAATCACCACATTTGTTTTCACTTCTGACCTGCTGAAAGTAGGATTATATTACTTGTGTATTTCATTCTGATTATTTTTTTTTTAAACTCTGATTTAAACAAAGATACTACTGTGGTATAATCTGATACCAAGTACTGTGTGAGAGGCTGGACAAGTCAATTACGACTGAAATTGCAGACTTCCTTTACTGTTGCCTTGCTTTTAACTCAATGTTTTTCTTCATAGGCAATCAACATATAATTTCCTTTCTTCAGGTCATACTTTTGTGTCTCACGAACACCAGCAGTGGCACTGTTCACTCTGAATTGCCAGATTTTTCTCACATTGTGCCACTTCCTTCATATTATTTAACTCTATGTTTCCCCAGCACAGATATATTACAAGGGAAAAGTGAACATAGCATCTAACAAGTTGTCAAATGAGCGCAGCAACACTGAGACATGCTGAGACACTAAACACTGACTGAGTCAATTTTACCCTATACAAAATGTAATTATTAGTATCTTGCTGAGATAACTCAAGGGGCAGAAACACTCTTCCAGTGACTGGTTAAAATGGATTTTTGCTTGTGACCAGCATGAATGCTGACCTTTGGCTTCTTGGCTGATCTTTGCATCTCCTAGAAAGTTCATGGAAAGGTCACAGAGCGGCACCAACTTCCTCCGTGTGTGCGTGTGCCTGTGTGCCTGCATGTGCATGGGGACACCCTCCTGACACTGGCTCCATGCAAGGGCTGGCCTTGCCCACTGACAACTTTGGTTTCATGTTTGTGGAAATCTGGACCCACTTATACCAACAGCAAACCAGGCTAAAGGGCACATAATTTTTTATTTACCAAGAGCCTTTGTTTGCTTTTCACTGGCAATTGCTCCCTGTTTACCTTTTAAAGTTTTGTTTCAGTTCAGATACATCCTTAGCTTAAGGAAATGGTGCTACAAAGAATATCTTTTTTTTTTTGTATAAACAAAATGACTGAAATGTGACTAGAAACAGCTACAAAAGAAATGGCTTACATGGCTTTTCCTGAAATACGCACATATTGAAGAGAATGAGTTCTTTCCTTAGATTGCTTTGTCATAGGTGCATCAGAAAATTAAAAAGGATTTATTGTACATTCTTTAGCTGATTCCTTTCACTGCAAAGTTCAGTGCTGCCTGTCACTGCGAAAGAGAGCTATGAATCTCAGAAAGCTGCTTTGCTGACACCATCAGCTGTACAACATCCGCTTCCAAACCAGACCTCCGAAAGCAGCACTGTTAGAGGGTTTTAAATCTCTGCTCAGAAGCTGTATCTATTTCCAAACAGCAAGAATAGCTCTGAAATTGTGAAAAATGCACTCAAGTCATATTTAGAATGATTGTATGTGGGGGATATAACAATACTTTTCAAGACTGTAAGCACTGCGTATATTCATATCTCGTGCTATTTATCTTGCAGATATACAGCGCTGGAAGTTGCTGGCTGCAAGCTGGCAAGCTTGTAGCAGTGAGAAGGAAAGATCTCTCCGTTTGTCACTGGCCGTATATCACTGCAGCTGTGCCCTTTGATTACACAGAGGGCTCCTCCAGCCATTAATAATGGGAAACACTTTTTGTCTGGTGAATGCATCTCAGCGCCATCCTCTAACACCTAGGCTTTGCAGTGAGGTAGAAGAGGCAAATTAAGGATGAAGCTTGTTCATTTTACATTCACACTAGATGTGTAAACAAGGATAACCTTTGTTTTCCTCAGAAAAGAAAATATGCCATTCTTTTTCCTACCACCACAGTGACTGATTTTTTACAGAAACAATATGCACTGCCAATTACAACTTGCTGAGGAAGTGACACTAATGAATCACAATAATGCTGCCACAGCATCACGGAAAGTCCTGTGACGCCAGCCTTCCAGATTAATTGCATTACATATAATAGCCAGGCCACATCTGCTAACCAGGTGTAGCAATGTAAAAGATTTCCCTAAAAAAAGCAAAGCTTAGAGGTAATCAATATATAGGGAATGGAGTCCTAGGTATGAATACTGCATTGCCAAAATTAGATAGCTATCTGAAATTGTCACAAATAATTGATGCTAAGATTGGAAAATTCTAAACTGGTGTAAATCATTTAGCACCAGAGAGCACTACAAGAGGTATTTCATGCTTGACCTGCAAAATGAATCAAAATTAATGTTAAGCTCATGTGGCATGCTGTTGCTCTTACCTATTGCAGCACAAGGTATCCGAGCTGCTCCAGAGAGGTGTTTGCCATGAGTGGAGCGTGGAATCTCTCTGGGCTTGGCCTACATTGATCATCTTCCACAGCATCTTTGACACAATAGGAGACAGCTATAGACCATTTGTCTTAACACTGCTTTTAGTCATGTGTCAAAACCTTGCTTTAACCCATCCCAATTTTTATTTAAGATTAGGCCTTTTGAGTAGTGAAAAAACCCAACAAGAAACAATGAACTCCCTCAAAATAAACCCTGCTCTTGCTAGCCATTATTTTACCTCCTCTGCTCTTCAATTGCTAGAGACAGCCACCCCATCACTCAGGCCATGAATGGATTTGCACTGGAGGAAAGGATTCCACAAAATGCAGCTGTTTTGGAGGTATTCCAGATGTCACACAGAAAGGTATGATTCCCATCTCTGTGTTTATCCCAAAACAGTGCTCCCTGTTTATATTTTGGTATAACCCACAGTTGCTTCATTGATGGTACTGTGACAATTATATGTTCCTCTTAAATCTGTGCTGACAACTATTTAGGTCATGGAGTCAGAGTTTAATTTCCTCAGGTTAGATTTATTCCCTCAACTGCAAAGAAATAAGAAAGAGCATGCTTGTTGCTGAGTCAAACACGGAGCTGAAAGTCTCCAAGGTGGAGCCTTTGGCCAACATGCTGTGCCTCATTTTTCAGCCTCAGTTACTGGCTTCATGACATGAGAATTTGGAAGCTGAGGTCACTGCAGGGTGCTCCCCAGGCTCAGCTGCAGGCCTGCAGGAGCCCTGCTGCCCATCTTGTGCCGTGGGTGTCTCTCTCTACTGAGCCCTTTCTCAGGTGGACAGGCAGTACATCATTCTGGGAATCACAGAGAAGCCTTGGCAAAAGAACACACCTTGAGGTATGTGACTGGCCTAACACCTCAAAAATAAAAAAAATATTTTATTCTTATATAGTGCTGTTCTTGCACAGAACACAACAGCTGAAAACTACCATCTATCCATATGAATGCCCCCCAAAAAAATTTAATCATGTATGATTGGCTAAATTTCACCAAGAGAACAAACATATCAGTCAGTTTAATATATTTTTGTAGAAATCCAAAAAACTATAGCAAGATTTTTTTTGCTATTTTTATAAACTACTTGTCCCAAATACAGTTGTTATGTTGGTCACTGAATTTAAATGATGAATTTCCTTCTTTTAAAGCTAAGCGGAAAAGATCACTAAGTTTCTTATCAGGAGATAGTGATAGACTTTGCAAAAATGCACAGCATCTTGAAAGTTTTGTCTCATATCACCATTTATATTCCTGAGAAATAGACATGTCTCACATTCTGTAGCAGTGTTTTGTGACATTTGGATTTACAATGCTCAAGTTTAAGTCTCTAGCCCTTTGCAGTCTGTCAAAACCAGCTTCTCTGTCCATTTATTTTTGTCTTCTGTGCTCTGTCTGAATATCTTTTGTAAATTTATACTTGACAACCCTCGTATTTCAGCAGCTGGCTTTGTTTCACAGTCTACCTTGCTTGCTCTGTTACATTAGCTGAAACAACAAATTTAATCCATGATGTCAATAGTAAATTATAGTGGAGATATAATATATGCCTGACATCACTAAGGTCAAGGCCATGGTGAAAATGTTGCAAATAGATCCAAAGGGTCTCCTCATTGTGGTAGGTGCTTGCTGCACATTTACTATTACGAGAAACAGATTAGTGCTGCACACTGCATTATGTTAGCCTTTTAGTTAGACTTGCATAAAACTCCAGCTAATGTAAGAGTGCTCCCTCAACATGAAAAGAGATTCCAGAGAAGTTTGCGATGTCATTATATTTCATATTTTCTAACTGATAAATAATTAAAACAAGAATTACTTTACTGAAAAGATTCATTTAGAGCACACATTTTCCATTACTCTAGCTGTTTGAAGGGGTTAGGGGAAACATTTATTGCATACCTTACCTAAACTACCTTGCCATTAAAGTATCTAAATTACCTCAGTGAATTTCTGGGCACAGAAGTGGTTGATGAATTGCTTTTTGCATAAATGCACTTTCCCTTTGCTAGAACCTAATTCTGTGTATAAACATACACATGCACTCGCATGCACACACACACACACACACACACACACAGAACAAAGTAAGTACTGAACTCTCTCAAGAAGAAAATTTAAGTCTGGAATTTTCTCTGTGCAATGAAGTTTTTCTAAATGTTGCTTGTGTTGCAAGCATCCTTGGACTCTCTGAGGACCAGGCAAAAATGGGCTCTTCTACAATGGCGAAAGAACAGTTAATGAATCATTTTCTCCTGTGTGAAAGTGCTCATTGCTGTTAATTTGTCCATTTTTTACAGCCAGAGCTTTCTTAAAGTAAAAATTAACTTTCAGCTTAAAAGTCCATTTATTGTCCAAGGGGAAAAAATTGTGCCAAGTGAACCATAAACAATTTCAGTGTATGGCAGACTATGGAGGTTTCCATTCCATGGAGCTCTATTATTTGTTTTATCTGGCATAAAGAGCATCAACAACCCAATGACTTTCAATCTGCAATTCATCTCTTTAACTTGGCTCTAAAGTATTTTGATTCCTAAATAAAAGGAAGGGCCAAATTTACAAAGCTACAGCATATACCAGAGCATAGGTATGGCACTTGGCTTTCCCCATGCCCTGGTTGGACGTATGGGATTTAATAGTTTCCTACTCAGAAGATTGGTTACTTTTTGTTCCTGGTGTCCCTAATGCTGAATGGAGAATGCTTATGTGGGTGGTAACATTTGGCTTCCATTTCAGCTTAGCTTTAAGAATGTGAGCAACTTCATGAGCTGCAGAAACATGCAGGGGAAAATACTTGAATCAAGATCTTTACATACAAATCCATACTTTTAAAAATAACCACCTCTCCAGGAGCTTTGATCTTCATGTACTTTGTCTATGTCTTTTACTCCTTCATTCAAATCTATGCCAGACCAACAGTAATTATAATTTATCTTCTCACTGTATTTTGTGTTCTACATGCAATGGTTAGTGGGTTTAAGTCAGTTCTTGTGGGTCAGGAGTCAACACCATCTTTGGCCCATTGTAGTATCTGTTGGTGAAAGCATCCAAGAAATGGAATGACTGACCATATGATAACCCTTTCCTAAGGTTGTCTGGCAAGCTTAACTGAAGCAGGATGACCCAATGGAATTACTGAATCTTAAGTTTCTGATCTTTGGGCTGGTCCTTTTGGAAGGGCAGCTTTCATTATTGATAATTTAGTCAACTATTGATAATTTGGTCAACTGCCATGAAGGTAATTGCTTTAAGGATATAAGTACTAATGAAAACTCCAAATCCTGTGATAGTCTCTTGTGTGCAAATAAAAAATAGAAAATGGAGATGGTGAGTCAGTATGGGCTGCTTTAATGACTATTTAATTTCTCCCATAAAAGAAGTTTAAATAATGCTGTTATGTGCTGATACTCTTAGCACTTGCTTTGGTGCATGATGTATGGCCAATGTCTGCTCCAAGAATCAACAAATGTGCATTATTCCATTAGCAGTTTTCTGTTTTCTACAAAGCTTTAAAATTTGTTATTTATGTTAATATACTAGTGCCTTATTTTACATATTTATAATATCTTCTTTCTTCTGCCATGAAAAGAATGAACAGTTTAGGTATTGCAGATCAGTTCAGCTTACATAACAGTTACAAAATATTGTTTACAAAAAGTTTCATAGATAATCCTTTCTATGCTTGGGACTGCTATTATAACTTATGTGAAACTCTTACTGACATCAAAACAAGACTGAGGTTTCTAATACTCTGCTCCTTCTTTCCTTCTCTTTTCAAGAACGGGGAGAAACTCAAGCTATATGAACAGAAATGCCACATTTTTCCCAACAAAATCTGGGAGAAGTGTAGAAGAACAAAGAACAACAAAAGGCTGAACATAAGAAGGTTTCAGTAACAGGAAGCACTGATAGGACAGAATGTAGTGGCACTCCAGAGGGTTTCTAAAAGCAAATCTATTCAACAAAAATGTAGCAAATATCACTGGCTGTGCCTGTGTTATGCAGCAGGGGATACTACAACATGGACACAAATCAGTTACTTCTGGCTGATTGTCTTTCCTTGATTTCCATGGCACATGGTCTTTACAACACTTACCAACTCTGAACATTGTCAGCATCCCGGCTGCAGAGCAGACTTCTGAAATTCCTCTTTTGAAGATGTCTCTGTCTCAGATCTCAGTTCTGCCTGTACAAGTGATTTAGCACAATGATGTCACTCTGGGCTAAGTGCAAGCAAAGGCACTGGGTTAGTTGTGATGCTTTTAGTTTTGGCTGCTGACTGTATGAGGTCAATACTAGAACGTCTCTATCCAGCACTACGATATAAAAGCACGTGTGTGGGGTGTTAAGGGTTTCATATTTCAGGATGCAAATTATTTGTTGATTCCTTAAGTGTGACTTCAATTTGTATTTTTAGCCATACTTATGTCCTCTAATCACATATGATCAATGTTTTTGAGTAAATCTATTAATTCAACTCAATAACCTATGCTACTACATCACCTCAGCAAAGGCTCAAGTTCATTAGCATCTGATGTCTCCTTGGTGGCCTGTGTGAAGTGAGTTTCCTGTTGATGCAGTTCCTAGATGTTTTAGTGCTGTATTTTCAGACATTTTTAGTTGCAATTCTGCCTGTCCTAGTGAACATGTCCCTGAACACAATGACATTTTAATAAAAATGTTAATACACTGTTTCAGACACAAATCTACTTTATCTCTAGAAGAGTTTCAAAACCTTTTGATTAGCTGAAAACCACATCTGACTTCCCTTTTTGTGTCCCCACAATGTGACTCAGCTTAAGCCACATCGGTTCCTAAATCCCTGTGTAAAACAATGAAGGATGGCCTGAACATGAGAATCCCTTATTGACTAAAGACTGCATCCACACTGACAACTCACTTTGCACAGCCCTCCTAACAGGCATGAGAGGCAGACAGGTTTCAGCTCTGCTGAGGTGACATCAATTCATCTCAGTGACAGAGACCTGGGCTTAGTTTCCAACACTCCAAACACTCCCGGTCATAGACAGCACCTGTGAACCACATTTATGTCTTCCAACAAATTTTCATTTACATGCCTTTTCAGAGATGTCTTTCTTGACATCTGAAAGCATTTCTTAGTTGTAGAGAAGTCCTTTTCTCTGCAAGAACATTTCCAAGGCTCTAGATTATTTAGGGTTCAGTTCAGTTGCATGTAAGAATTTAAGGTTAATTTATCTAAATTAAAAAAAAAAACAAACCAAAAAAACAACAAACCCAAATAGAGCTTGTAAATGACCTCTAAACTTCAGCTGACATCAGCTTGTCAGTTTGCCTTTTATGTTTTCTGCATGGTCAGAAGGGAGAAATTTGATCCCAAAGCAAATAGTTTTAAATGACCTATTTTATTCCACATAAAAGTGAAAAAAATTACCATTATCTTATAACACCCATAATGTTCATGAACATCAGAAGCTTAAGAGTCCTAATGAGATATTGGGAGCGGTCAGGATCTGGTTGATGGGATGACAAGATTTTGTTGGTCAGATAAAAATCTGATGCGCAAGGGCAAATTAAAAATGCAGAGCAAAATATTCATCTTTACAGAAGAAAACAAATACCTACATGTTGTAGGCAATGCTGCTTCTACCACTTTAGCAAAGTAGGAAGATGCCTGTCCCTCCTGCCATAGCAGCCCCACACCACTGCACTTGCAGTGCATTCACTCCAAAGGTGTGTTGCAGTGAGGGCAGGTGCAGGAGCAGAGGATGAATTTTCAGCTGGGAAAGCAGTGTGTGCAAGGGTAATGCTTTTCAGAAGAACTTGTTTCAGGACCCAGAATGCCAATGGCTTTTCTCTTGCCAAGCAAGCCAAGGCTCATAATTCTGGTTCCTGAACAAGTATTACAAAGACACAACTGCCCCGATGACACATGCTGCAGCTTCCTTCAAGACCTTCCACTCTCTCCAAATGGCAACCTTCCTGAATTAAAATATAAATAAATCCTTCTATAAAAGGACAAGAAAAGGACAGTTCTGCTTTCTGCAGAAAACCCAGCTGATTCGAAATATATAACAACCAAGGGGAAATATATAGCAACTAAGAATAAATGTTATTTCTCTTCCAACTTGTAAAACCCAGTAAAACCAAATAGTCTTAAAATGTGCTCTCTGTCTCTGGTCTTTCAGCAGCAAGCTTGCTCAGAGTTCAGAATGTTGACAGAAATAAATTACAAATAATTTTATAAGGAAAAAATCAGGAGCAATTTTTGTCTTGTTTGCAGGAGTATGTATCTTGCTAGAGCTTGAAGAACACTACTTTTGATTTCTCACATAGCAGATAACTTCTTTGGGGAAATTAAGAAATAAATTAAAGTGCTCTTTATGGCAGCTGAACCACCCTGAAAGCATATATTAATTATTATGAACATGTTATTCATACAGATGTATGTGCTACAATAATAAATTATCATTTGTACCACAGCAGCCCCTTAGGCCACATCTGAGAGAGGAAACCCAGAGTATGTCTAGAGCATGCACCCAGCAGTGGGAGTGCCTGCTCCAGCCATCTCAGAGCTTTCTGCAGGGAGGACCCAGCTTGGATTTTCTGATCCCAGCTTCTCCCTCATCTTTCCACAGAAAGGACACTGAAGGGTATGGCTCTGACAGCCCTGAGTATCCCAAAGCTGCCTCAGGGTTCCCAGGTGCCAGCTCCCAGCAAGTACCATCAGCTGCCTGAAAACCATACTTGTGACCTGGACCAAGAGCAGTTTTCCAAGTTCCTGCATCAGTGCTTTACAGCCTTATGTACTAGATGCGTGACAGATGAAGATCAGAGATCCCCCCCTCAAGACTGTACAAGAGTACAATGGAAGGAATAAATAAATTGAACTTCAGAAAAAAAATCAGTTATTTTTAAAAACTGGCTTAATACTTGGGAAGTTAGCAAAGCTACATGAAGTTCTGACAAAAAAAAAAAAAACAGTAAAAATACTATTTTGTACTATTATTATCTAGACAAAATGAAATTGAAATTATAAAATGCACAACCAAATGCTGAAAGTTTTGATCTTGCCCAGGCATAAATGGGTAGATTGTTTTCCATCATTGGGGATTTTCTGATTAGATAATTTGTTCATGCTTATTGGTCAAATTGGGACATTTTCAGGGGAGAGTTTCAATGGCTTCTTTGTCAGGAAAAGTTTCTTATCTTTGTTCTGCAGTTGAAAACATGGATAAAAGAGAATAGGCAGACTTGGTCCAGCCTAGCAGGAGTCACAGACTCAAAACAGGTGACCCCTTCCTGGGAAGTGGCCAATGCACTCAAACAGTTCATACCATGACCTGCAGAACCAGGTCTGTTTAAACTATCTGTTTATCCATTTATTTGTTTATTTTGATTTTGTTTTACTACAGTTTCTCTTTCTCCTTTCTACTAACATTTTACAAACTTTTTTTCCCCACAAAGGTTCTTGCTCTCCTTCAAGTCATTCCCATCACCTCCAAAAGCAACGAGTTCCGTGTGCTCAGTGCTCAGCTTCTGTATATTCAAACCTGTGTTTTGTGAGCTCTCTCTAGTGCAGCTCACAAAGACAAGGCAACACTCCAACCCTACGGAAAATTGCAGCATAGCTTTGTAGCAGCTAGGTATTTACCCTCCCTTCCCTACTGCAGTTTCACTTACAGAACACCTCAGAAATTCAAGAGCTGACATATAGCATGTACAAGACTATGAAAAAAACCCAAACAACCTGAACCCTGTAGAGAGACCTTAGTTTTTGTTCATCTTAGCATTTGTGTCTACTCTGCTGGCAGAGAGCTCTAATTGTCAGGGACACAATAGGCTGTGCTCTTATCTGTGATTAATAGACATGATCTTTCCAGAATGATAAATGCAGGTAAGTAAAGTCTCTGTGACTATATCTATGCTACATCATAGATTATCAAAACCCCTACAATGTAGACATGATAATAAGTATCCATGGTGTCTAAAAGTGCTGGCAAAGAGTTCCTAACATCTAGAATTCAATTTTTTATGGTTTTTATGTGGCTTTGAGGGACAATATCCTCCACACCATTGAAATTCACTTTTTTAGCTTTCGTTCAGCTCTCTTTTGGGAATTTGCCCCACATTCCTCTTTGAGATTCCCTTTCAACAGGAAGAGGGCACAACAGGATAGTGTGGACCTACAGAACTGAGCACCATCCCCAGTGTGTCTCTTCTGAGGGCAGAAGGGCATGAATGGATCTTACTCTCAGAAACCAGCAACCCTCTCTTGCCCATTTGCCATGGTGGCATCACAGGCACAGTCCCTCAAAAGAAGTGATGAAACACTCGTGTCTTTTATTTCTGATAGCAGTGTTTCAGAAGGCTGAGGGCCCTGACAGCTGCTGCAGAGATGAAATACCACCATTATTATATCTCATGCCATCCAGTCATAAGGGGAATAATGGTTGCTGTAAATGATAAACGGCATGATTAGAACTACCCATTAAAGAGATTAAGAAACTGCAAATGCTATGGTATGTGAGATGTACAGCACCACACTACTGTGCAGATGGAGACATCTGCGGTAGAGATGGGACATTCAGAAATGTGCTACAAATTCTTCAGACAGTCTTGCAGCCCAAGACTCGGGCCACACACTGCGAGCAGATGGCTCCACTGTACTTCATCATACACAGAAACACTGCTCTGTTGTCATGCAATGGTGTACATTTTTGTTGACAGCAGGTTAATGGCATTTGGCAGTAACCATTGTGGAGTATTTTTTCCCTTTTTTTGGTGTTATGGATTATTTTTCCAGAGGAACACAGAGTGGTGCTGAGATGTTAGCTCTGGTATTTCCTCAGACCACCATGTGAGGATGGGAAAGGAGCAGTGTAGCTCCTCTCTGTTTGCATGGGAGCCAATGACCAAGCCGGAGGATTTGGCTTGCATACAGCTCTCTGAGGCAAGCTTGGAGATAAGGAGGTTCTTGATACTCAGATCCTGAGAAGTTATTTTCTATGAATATATTATGTAGCAGGTTAAGAACTAACCATGGTGGAGAAATCTGTATGAGGTTTGTATTTGCTTTTTTTACCTCAAGTTTGTGATGGATTTCCTGTCAGAGAAGTAATGACCAGAAAAGCTTTTCAGTAAAGTCTGGTCATTAAATTTCTCTTATATTTCTTCTTAGAAATTTTCAGCTCTAAAACTACTGAT